CGATTGATTGCGGAGCAGGAGTAGTTCCTGAGGTAGCCATCGAGTTTGAGGAGTTTTTTGATTCACAGGTCACATAGGAGAACCTGGCTCTGATACCAGTTGTTACATCGGATGAGTTACAGCTTTAAAGGAAGCTAAAATGATGAGCAAATTTAGAGAGAGAGTCAAGGAGAGAGAGAGGACAGCAAAAACAGGGTATAAGGCTGCAAAAGCCTCTGTTTTTTCAGATTGCAGAAAGATGATGATTTTTGGCGAGGAAAAAGGATAATTTTCATTGATTTGCACGATTACATTTATAAGCACAGAGTTGTGCTTGATTACAACCAAAAAATAAATGATAAGATTAAACTCAGAAATCCATGCATACATGCTGCATGGCAGCTACGTAGGCTGCGGTGAAACATTTTCTTCACAGCTTTATTTGACTTTGAATTTGAATAAGTAAATGGATAAAATCATTAAAATCAACACATGCAATAGAAAGTCACTGTTGACTTCTACATGCACATATGTATAGTTGTTTTGAAAAAAAAAAAAAACCTTTAACAAGTTTAAAATCCCCACAACCTTCTTAGAAATGGGAATCACTTCAAGAAAATGGTGATGATCTTTATAGGTAACCCAAATATAATGCTTATAAATTTGCAAATCAAATTATCACCTCATTAGAGCCAGTCCACCTGGCTTAAGGATTCGGCACATCTCCTTGAAAACATCAATTGGCTTTGTCAGGTAATCAACACTGACCTGCAAGATATATTAAACAATCCAAATATTCTAACATGCGAGAGCTAATAGAATGCTTACTAACAATTATTGATATAATTTTCTCTTCAAAACTCAAAAAGAGTTGCTGCAAACTTCGTGTTTCTTTTACTTCTCCAGTTTGAATGATATTTAAGAGAAGTTCATTCAGATATTTGACTGAAAGTGCCCCCACCTTTTGATTATAAAATGAAGTAATAAAGCATCAGTCCTTAGCCTTCATGACTTTCCCAAACTAATATGGAATGAAAATTAGAAATAAGGTAGGATTAGAATTAAAATTGAATCAAGGATGATCTTAGCATTTTATAGAATATTCTTAAAATAAAACTCATGTCAGACTTTATATTCTTTAATAAAGCTCCTAAATCATAGTAAATCATAGTATAAGGTACTTTTCGGTCCAAATTTTTATTAAGACATTTTGCAGTATTTATCATGGTAAGCAATTCAATAACTAACCATTTAAAGCTTTTATGTTTCAAGAAAGCTTTGAAGAGTCAAGACGCCTTTAAGGTCATCAAATGCATATTTTTAAAAAAATAAAAAGTGTAAAAATATGATATTCATAAGGTACCAATGAGGTACCACCCATTTATAAAAAATTTACAATTGTGTTAAAATATCAATGACTTTCCTAAAATCTTCTATCCTACAAACATCATACCTCAAAATCGAAGACCCAAAAAATGAAACCATCTATCTCTGATCTTAAATATCTCACCCTCAATACCCTCAAATAAAACAAAATCTAAGTGTTTATGTGAAAGTAAACAATAGAAACTGTATCGTGCAGACTAATCTTCATAATGGAAACTTTTTAAGTTGATAGACTGAAAGGTGTTATGAATGTTGGGTATTTTACTATTAATAAATTTTTACTAGCGATGTTCGATTTCTGTTGGTTATTGCTGGATATTACAAAGTAAACAAGATTAAAAGATGAGATGTAATGCATAAGCCAAGTCAGTCAGTCAGCTAGTTTGCTTGTTTGATCATATATCTAGGACCGTACATACCATTTTTAATTCAAGCATTAATAAAACAACGGAAATTGTCAAAAAATGTCTATCTATTTCATATTGCTTCTTTCCCTACCATGTGTGCTAACTTTTCTGCAATTGCTTCTTTCCTTTCCCTTCTAAATCTGCTAATCCTCTTCCTTCAACTTCTACAAAGGAATTCTCTACGTCGAGCTTATGACCATGGATCATGATAATGATGTGTTTGCACAGTTGCACTCGTTATAGCATTAAAAACCAACATATAATAAAGGATGGAAGAAGTTGCACATACCACATTAGTGATAACGTCGAAGGAGTTATCCTCAAATGGGAGTTTGGGGTTCAGGTTTAAATCTTGCACAACATACTCTGTGAGAACCTAACAAAGCAACAGTATAAATTCATATACTTTTGTTTCAGTAACAAAGTTAACAAGCAATAAACTTAGCTGCAAAGACCTCAGCTTCGTAGATTATGCATCCTAATCGATATTATACACATATAACACAATCAAAGAATTATATGGATGAATCTCACTGGATTTCGCTTGAGCTCATCTTCGTTCATTCCTAAGCCCACTACCCTTTCCTGCTTGTATCCAGCTGGAAAATGGCTGACCTACATAGGATAAGAATGGGGTCAAAAAAGTGTACTATATGCACAAGGAAGTTAGAATAAAGATTAGCATTGTCCTACCCAACTGCTGCACATATCAAGGATGCTTACTCCTGGAGTATTAGTTGGAGGAAAAACCTTTGAATAATACTTAGTTAGTGCAGCAATAGCAAGATCATCTATATGCGTCACAAATCTTGGAGCCTCATAGAACAATGAATCTGGTGACCTGAGAATGCAAATCATATGATTGTAGATATTCAATGCTATCATTGTTATGCATATTCATTCTTTTCTCAGCCAATTTGAAGAAACTAAAACGAGTATAAATATAAGTCAAAACAAGAATCAGATTAATAAAACAATGGACATGGCACAACTAAGCAGAATCACATTAATAAAACAGCAAAAATATGCATAAAAAGGAAAAAAAAAAATTCATTGAGAATCAAAACACAAGAAAGCAAATTGGGTTTAGAGCCTCATACTCATCAAACCGCTGGAAATCCTCTTCCTTGAAGGGAAACTGCTCCGGCCAGTCAACATTGGTCAATGCCTGTCGTTGATTGGAGATATCCGTCAGGAGTAATTGAAGCCCAAGTTCAAACAAGGAGAATATATAACTGAGGAAATTGTAAATTTGTAAGTTAATAATGGCTTTAGAAAAAGATCAGCAATAGCTGGAATTAAAAAGAAAAATTGCATTTAACAGGAATAAATTATTGGTAACTGTAAATTGGGTTTCCCTGTTCCAATTTCCAGAAAAAATAAAGCAAATCCAAGGCTTTAAGCAAGGATAATGAACAGCAAGATAATGAAATAATTGGTAAATGCCACAGGTCGTTTATCCTCTAAATGATTCTGTATTCCAAACAGAAACTAAGATGTAGCAAGAAAGACCAGTAATCGAGCAAATTCATGCCCTAGCATTCACGGCGTTTTCCAAACTAAAGACAGAGAAAAAATTAATCAAACAACTTGAAAGTTCCAACTCCAACCCCGGCCGAAATGAGTCTAATGTATAGGGCAAATGACCTGCTCAACAGAGGAAGGATTCTTCTGTCTAGCAGAGGCGATGAAAGATGTGCTGTGTAAAGCACCGTCCATGCTAATAAACTGGAACCCTAATGAAACCCCCAGGCCTAGTACCATCCGACGAGGTGCTGTATGGCACTTGTACAACCCTTTCGTCAACGTTCTTGAAAGGTTGAAAGTGGAATTAAGTGCAGAGAAAGTAGAAGATAAAGCAGGATAAAAACAGGAAACAGCTGGTAATTGCTGTTGCAGCTTGATAGCGATAAGATTGGCCATTGTTTGACATTGTATGTATACTTAGGTGATGTTTATAGCATAAGAAGAAATGGCGGATATGGGTGAGTGGCAACCGTAGGATGAAGAAACTTGTTTGTTTCTATAGAAGTTGGACAATCAATCTAAACTCTCGTCTAGAATTTTCACAACATTAATGATCTTCAAATCCAAAGTACCGGTTTTAAATCGTCCATTTTCTGATTTTAAATCCCTATGAAGCGAAGTCGTTGTGACCAATTAGGATTCTTTGCTAAACGGCGTCGTAATTGCTACATTCTGTAATGGTGGCTCTCCTTTAAAACGGCACCGTTCGATCTTCCGAGGAGCTGGGTTTAGGCCCGAGTCAGGCCCGTTTCAGGCTTTTTTGTGAAATGGGCGATTCCAATACTATATTCGGGCTTCCATTGTTAATCAAGGCCATAGCCCAAATCCCTTTCTTTCATTTTCCTTTTTCTTCCTCTTGTTTTTTTAACCCTTTCTTTTCTTTCTGTCTTCCCTTCATATTTTTCTTTTTTCATTTTTTTTTTCACTATCTTTTTCCATGTTTCCTATTTTTCTTCTCTTTTTTTAACTTTCCTTTTCAGATTAAATTTTCCGAACAAATTCGACGTGGTCATCATCATCATCGTCATCAATATCAATATTATTATTATTATTATATCATCATCACATCATTATCATCATCATCATCATCATCATCATTACCATTATTAGCTATTTTTATTATTATCTCATTTTTACCTAACTAATTGTTTTATTTTGACTAAACTAAATTGGGGTACGTTACTTGTATGTTCTTTTGAGTCATTTTTTCTTTTCCCTATTATGTTCTTGAAATACTTAAGCCATATATATGTTACTTTCATATGCAATGACTTAAATGGATTGAGAATAAAATAACAATTAGCCCTTGAATATACGCAACTTACGTAGTTGATTGGTTTGATAAAATTAATATGTTTTAAGATTCTCCACATATATTATGCATATTGTCATTATTGTGAAATGATATAAAAATTTTATAAAAATATAAAATTTATAATATTTTAAAATTGTCATAATTTCTATTGAAAGAGAGATCGAATATTATCGGTTTAATTCTAGAGATTCTAATATAAAAAATATATATTTTTCAAATTGTTATGTCAAGTTTTAATTCTAAAATATCTTAAAAGCTTATTCAAAATTAAATGTAAAAATAATATCTAAAAGCTAGAGAAATTTTTAAATATTATATCAAGAATCTTTTAGTTAAGATTAGATAGTAAGTTGGAGGTAAGAAAATTTAAAATTTTGAGATTAAGAGAAATTTGAGAGCTTTATTTCTTCCAATATTCAAAATTAGCTCTTAAAAGTTATCAAAAAATAAGGTAAGTAAAGTTGCTCTATAATAATAAGGTCAAACTAGTTGTTAGACAAAAAAAAAATAATTTTGGCATTAAATACGTGAAAAACGCATAAAAACACATATTTATATTGTGCAAGTAATAAAAAATGTGATGGTCACATTTTGGGAGCACATCGTCAGATGTCTCCTTATAGTGAATATCAAATGCTTCATTATATAACATAAAGTCTTGTTTTTAAAAAAAAAAATGAAAGCATTTATTATATTTTCCACTTACATATTCACTTTTCTTCTCTTCCAAAATATCCATTTAATCTTAAAGTATCACAATGTAAAAGCCCAAAACTTTAAAGAAATAAATATATATTAAAATAAGAGAAGTAAATAATAATTTAGAGTTTTATGTTTCTTATACAGTAAATTAGAGTGTCCAATAGGGTTGCAGAAATGTTCTTTTTAAAGAAGTTAAAATAACAGAAATAGTAATAAAACTAAAATTCTATAGGATTAACCTCCACTAGCAACTTTGATGGGGTCTGGGAGGTAATATTTACTCACAACTCTCTTTTTGTTCAGAATCTGAATTTTGGTCTTTTTGATTTAAAATAGTTACATAGAGGGATGAGGTACATTAGTATAGTAAGAATATCACACTAATCACTGACACAGAAAATTAAAAATTAATAAAAATTATAAAACAATTAATGGAGTCATTGATTTAGGTAAATTTATTTAATATAAAATCGTTTATTCCGTACTCACTGTTATAGATTCCCAAAAATTGACGTATGAAGATAATAACTCAGATAACAACTTACCTTTTCACCTATTTACAGGTACCTCTAGGGGTCCATAGGGATATCCCCCTACGCTTGAACCTAATATCCAAATTTGTTAATCAATCAGTCGTCCTTATATCCCGTCTGGTAATGGATGCCAAACATATCATCGCCTCGATACCCCATCGGATATGAGGGTGAATCATATCTCTCAAATTCTTCCGATATGGGACTTTTCAGCTCTATTCGACTGAGATAACATTTACAGTAGAGTTTTTCATATGTACCGAGTTCGTCCACCCTTTGCAAGGTACCCCGTAAGCTTCCCATACATAGATTCACATTATCAATCAATTCTCAATTATATATCAATATCTCATATTTACCAATCAACAATAAGTCATGCAAAAAGATGGTACGTAAATCAAGACAACATAATTGATATATTTATTGCAAAACGAACCACAAATGAGGTTATGCAGTTAGGTAAACTAAATAACCGAGAAAATAATTAAAACTAGTAATTTAATGCACACAATTTAATAAACAGTATATGAGAAAATAAACAGTAAACTAGGACAAATATGTACTGACCGGTTCTGGCTCCACTAGTTATCTATAATTAATTTTAGAGTTTTTTAATTTTTACAACACACAGCATTATTGATTATTTAGCTTTAATTTTCCATAACAGGAAAAAAAGTGAGGGATTCTTACCGCGGGTTAGTGTTCGAAATATTGTACTTTCTATTGCGCCTTCTGATGGTCCCTGGGTTTCCTGAATTTTTCTGCATAAACTAAAACACCCATCATGTATCCAAAAATACCTTGAAATGGCAAAATAGGTGTTTTAAAACTTTCTGCCGCCATGCTTCTGCGTCGGCTCCACCGCCCGTGATGGCAGTTTACCTCCAACTGGCTGGTTTCAGCTGGTTTTGCGCATAGAGCTATAAAAAGTTAAGAGGCCTCAATTGGTCGAAAAAGACAAAAAAATTAAAATCCTACCCACGGAAGGTCTTTCGGTACGGCAGCTCTGTTGGTCCTCTTTCATGGCTGAAGTTCCCCTTTGGCTAACCTACACTAGAAAAGGACAGAGAACACGACAGGAAGGGGGTCATCGAAAAGGATTTTAGGTTTTGGTCGCGGTGGCTTGGCCGAGTTTTGCTCGTGATGTTTGGCTCACCCGTCGACCTTTTGGCTCCGTTATAGACATAAGGAAACTCAAGATTAAATTCTAAGTGGAACGGGGAAAATTTTACCTCTCTCGGCGGTCAGCAATGGCTTTGGTGCGACGATGGCTCTGGTGTGGCAGCGGTGGCGTTCTTCCAGCAATTGGTCTTCCCTTCGGCTGCCTCCTTATTCTTTTTCTCCGACTGGGTGTCGGCTACGGTTTCAAGGTCGACTAAAGAGATGTTTAAATACCTCTCTTCTCTCTGATCATGGCCGTCCATCTGCGTCAAAGTAGAGCGAGAAGAGTCGTTTGATCGTTGCCTGTTTAGGCCAATTGCGTGGGCGAATTTAGGTGTCAATCGTGATCAATCTCATCCATCCGATCACATCTAAAGAGAGAATGTATCTGTGTCATTAGTGCGCACGGGATGCGATCTGAATCATTGGATCACTTAGGCATGCGGATCGCCCGCATGGCTTCCTGTGTGGAGCTGATGTCAGCGTGTCTACCAAGTGGTGCATTCTTACTCATCATGGTTGCTAACCAAGTCATCCCACGTGACTAAACTTTCCTTTTTTGCGACTTTACTCTCTATTTTTTAATTTTTTGTACAAAACACCCCTTATTCATATTTTTACCCATTTGTTTCATAATTATTTTCAATTTCGTTCATAATTTATTTTTTCTCAAATTTAAAAAAATTTAAATTAAAATAAAAATTTAATTTTTTATATATATTTTATAAATTTGAAAAATCATCCCATGCTAAATTTTTGGGGCCGATTGTTACGACTCTCCCCCTTTTAAGAGGAAATTTGGTCCCTTAAATTTGTTACCCTCTTGCTAGTCGAACAGTTAGGGGTATTGGGCTCTGAATTTCGATTCTAGCTCTCAAGTGGCCTCTTCTTTTGCATGATTCCTCTATAAGACCTTGATGAAGGGAATTTCTCTATTGTGAAGTAATATGCTCTTTTGGTCCACAATACCTACCGGTACCTCATTATATGATAGATCTTTCTAGAGTAAAAGTGGCTCGTAAGATAAGATATGCAGGGTTTCTGAGTTGTACTTACATAGTATAGACACATGAAACACGTTATAAACTCTAGATAACTCTGGAGGTAGTGTTAGTTTGTAGGCAGATGTATCAATCCTTTCCAAGATTTCAAACGGTCTAATGAACCGAGGATTTAATTTTCTCCTCTTACTAAATCTGCTGATCTCCTTGAAAGGGGTGACCTCAAGAAATACCTTATCACATTTCTCAAATTCCAAATCTCTCCTCCGGATGTTCGCATAACTCTTCTATCTATTCTGAGTTGTCTGGATGTTCTTTCTTATTTTAATTATCTTTGTTGTGGTCTCCTTTATAAAATTTAGGCCAAATAATTTTCTATCACCCATCTGTTCCCAACAGATTAACGACCTACAGGGTTGTCTATACAATGCCTTCTAAGGGGTCATGCCAATACTTGCTCGGTAGCTATTATTATAAGTGAACTCTATCAAGGGTAGGTGATCATCCCAATGGCTTATGAAGTCTAGAACACAAGCTCGAGCATATCTTCTAGTGTGCGAATTGTCTATTCTGATTATCCATCGCTTTGAGGGTGGAATGCGATGATAAGAGATAGTGTCGTTTCCATTGCTTGTTGAAAATTAGACCAAAATCGAGAGGTGAATCTGGGGTCTCTGTCAGATACCACTATCGCTAGAACTCAATGTAACCTGACTATCTCCCAGATGTAAATTCTTGCTAGCTTGTCTAAAAAGTCAGTCATTTTGATAGCCAAGAAGTTAGAGGACTTGGTTAGCCGGTCAATAATCAACTAGATACCATCATGTCCCGAGCGTGCCTTAGGTAACC